TAAAGAAGAACAATACCGCAGCTCCATTACGAAGGGTCTCTTTGCAAGATGAAAGAGTTGGTAAGACAACTCCCACCTGTTTATACTCTCTGTATGTGTATATATATATCTCCTCAATATATGTTCCATTCTATATGCATCCGAAGAAGTGGGCTGTAGTCCACGAAAGCTTATGCTCTAATAAATTTGTTAGTCTCTAAGGTGCCACAAGTACTCCTGTTCTTCTTTTTGCGGATACAGACTAACACGGCTGCTACTCTGAAACCTATTAATGATGGAGATTCCACAATCTCCCTAGGCAATTTGTTCCAGTGCTTAACTACCCTGGTAAGTTGGATGTTAAACCTCCCTTGCTGCAATTTAAGCCCATTGCTTCTCCTTCACTTCTGAGGCTAGGACCAGAACAATTTTTCACCCTCCTCCTTGTAAAAACATTTTATGTACTTGAAAACTGTTATGTCAACCCCACCCCACCCCAGTCTTTTCTCCAGACTGAAAAAATTGGGTTTGTTTAACCTTCATGTTTTCTAGATCCTTAATAATTTTTGTTGCTCTTCTCTGGACGTTCTCCAATTTGTCCACATCTTTCCTGAAATGTGGCACCCAGAACTGGGCACAATACTCCAGTTGAGGCCTAACCAGCGTGGAGTAGAGTGGAAGAATTACTACTTTGAGTGCTTGCTCATGTCCATTCCACATTAGCTGTGTGTGCTCGCCACATCCACTGGTGCTGGAAGTATTCTCACACTTCTTATCAAACTGTCTGCACAGCAAAAGGGAAAATTCCAAAACAAAGGAATCCTCAAGGAGAGTCTAAGGAAGGAGACTGGTTCTGTCTTCATCTTTGAGTAGTGGAAGATGTGACCCCTAATAAAGCTTTTCCAGGTCTGGTTCCTATGAGTCTCAAACTTATGATTCCATGTCATGTCCCTTCCCCATTATATGGGCATCAGGTTTGCTGCAGATCCAGGATCTCCCTGTGCTGCACCTCGAGCTGCTGACCCCGTTGTCATCAATCACATACGCACAGTCACCTCCTCCTCCTATGGGAAATCTGCAACACAGACAGCGGGGTCTGGAGTCAGGGAGTGGCTGGGCATTTCCCACCAGTTACACACCGTGCAGGGCAGCAGAAGGAGCAGCTGCATGCACAGACATCTGCCCCATTTCAGACTCCTCCCTGGCAGAATGGGGAAAATAAGAGTGTAGGAAATTAGCAGGTAGTGGAGGGCCAGGAGATGAGAGATGGGTGGTGCTGAAAGAAGAGAGCTGGGGTAGCAGCCTTCCCTGTACTCACAACTGTGCTGTATTGTAAACCCCTGGGGGCGGGGACCGTTCAGCCCCAATGGGGAGAGATCCCACAGGTCACTCTCACAGGCACTGTGTGGCACCTCTCAGAAAGTTGTTTGTGTTTGTACAGTGCCTGGCACAGTGGGGCACTAGTCTACACCTCCTAAGCGCTACAATAATACAAATGATAATGACAACACTACACTGGGCCTCAAATGCTGCTGGAATATTGGTTTTAGTCCATGAAAGCCAAATACCAGTAAGATCCCAGATACATTCCCACACCCCCAAACAACCTTGGTTAAATATATTCCTCTTGGGAGCACGGCAGACACCTGTGATCTAACATGGAGAATATCACTAGAGGGAAGGACTCACCGGTTGTCAAATTTGGTGCCATTGGGCCATCTCCAGGGCTGGCCTGGCTTCCTCTGGAGGCCAATCCAACGGCCAAAGAAACCCTTAAAGCGCAGCAGGAAATCCTTAAAATCAGACAAACCAGATAATATTTAGGCCCCTGGCTCTGACGCTCGTCTGTCCCTGCATGGCCCCTGTTCAGACGTTCAGGTTTGGATGGGCCACCTGTAGTTTGCCTGCTGAGAGCCCAGATCCGATCACACCAGCCCAGCCCATGGCACAGGGAGGCTGAGAACAAGTTACAGTCAGCTGTGGGTCAAAAAGACAGAACTCCCCTCTCCCGGCCCCACTCTAGGATTGGAAGGGGGTGGAGAAGGTGAGGGAAGGACCATCAGGAGAGCAGCTGGCAGCTCTGCTCCGCTGACAGCAGCTTCAGCCGGTGAACCAATCGCTGGCTGAGAATCCCGGTTTGTTGGACGTCCCATCAGACTGGGGCCTGCTCAGCTGGGGGTAAAGAGCCTCTGAGCAGCCCCCAACTATCTCCATCCCCACATGGACAGAGCTACCTCTGCCCTTCTACAGTTTAGAAGCAGGCACCTCTGCCTTCCTTGCAAGGCTTCTTCCCAGCAGCTTTGCATATAGCGCCACCCTCCATCCCCCTCAGCCAAACCAGGTGGCAGCTGCTCTGAGGAAGGGCAGAGCTCACTCCCTGCAGAGCCCAAGAGCCTTAGTGCTTCCCCCGGCAGGCACACGGAGCCCCCACCCCAGGGAGCCACTGGCTGTGGGGAGTTGCAGAGGCAGGTTCTTCACAGGCAGCCCACTGGCCCGGAGCTGACCAGGCCGGCCCAGCCCTACAGAGGGGGATCCTCCCGCTTGGGGCTCTGGGAAAGAGGAGGGGGGCTGGAAGTGAGTGATCCCTTATCCCTGAGTGTGAGCCCAGCTCTGGACAGGCCTGGGATTCAGCCACCAGAAACACTCTCAGGAGAGGCAACCGGGCAGTTTCTGGAACCCCTGGGGCTGAGCCCAGCCCAATTCCAGCCCTGCCAGGCCCAGTCTGTTGGGATGAAGCATCTGCCGCTCTCTCACCTTTTCCTGATCACTGTCGATCCCAGCCAGGGAGGCGTTGAGTGCAGAGCACTGGCTCTGGCTATAGGTCCAGTTCCCTTCAGTCTCTGAGAAATAATAGCATTTCCCTCGGTATCCGATCCAGCCGTCCGGGCAGCCGGGCACAGCAGGGGGGCCTGGAACAGCCACAGGTGGTTTGGATTTTTCCACTGAAAGAGAGACAAGTAACACAGGGTCAGAGACTGTGTCCCCTACCCCCAGCCTGACTCTGTATTTGAGTGAATGAGGTGACAGAACCACTCAGATCCAGGCTCCTTACACCCCAGGCTGCTGTGCTGAGGGAGGAAATAGACCATTTGAAACAAGGGATGGGCAACCGACCCCCTTCTCTATAGTGGCTGTTCCAGGCCCCCCTCCTCTCATCCCCAGCAGTTCTGGGGGTCAAATTCACAGAAAGTGCAGCTGACAAGCAACCCACAGCACAGTGCAATAGCACCAGATTCACCATAAAGACAGAGCAGGCAGGGGAGCGTTACCTGATGGCCGGCACAGACAAATATTGCACCAAATAAAGATATGGTTCAATATGATTGTGTGGGATGCTGGGTCTATTACCCCAGCTGGCTGCCTCCCCTCCCCAGGCTCTTTGCTTTAGAGATGCATCTGGGGATGAAGATGGGATTAGACTCACATCAGGGAACAAACCCTGACTGCACTGACCTGTGCAAGGGACAGGCTCCCAGAGAACCAGACACTGGAGTCCCAGCCCAACAGAGATGTGCTTTATGGTGTCTGTACCAGTAAGAATTCCAGGGATGTTCCCTGCCCAGGGTAAGGGATGGTGGGGACTAACACAGCTCAAAGCATCTTATCCTGTGCAGGGGATTCGGAGCCAAGTGAATGAGTTTGAGACAAGCACTGTAATGCTCAGTGACATAAAATGGCCACAAGGTGGCACCATAACCCCAGGAATGGACAGGCCTGTGAGGTTAAGACAGTGGTCCCCAAAATGTCAGGGGGGAGTGGGGGGGAAGCGCACAGTGAACCCAAGCCATGGAGAGGGAGCGCCACCCAGCTCCAGCCCCAGCTGCCTGGACACTAAAAGTCCGGTTACCTCCAGTAACCTGCTTCCACCTCAGGGGGGGAGGCGCACAGGAAGAGCAGCTGCTGCTGGAGCCTGGAAGAGCACTCAAAGGCGAGAGAGAGAGACACAGGCAGCTCCCTGGTCCTGCCCTGAGCATGGCTCTGCCGCCCCTGCCCTGCCTCAGTCACCCCTGCCATCCCCGGAGCACAGCTCCCCCATTCTGGCCCACTCACCCCCAGCCTGGCTGTTGGGGGGCATGGACTGGGTAAGGGGGGGCGTGATTGAGACAGTTTGGGGACCACTGACTGGGCTGAGCTGGGTTAAAAAGGTCAGTGCCAAAGTCACCCTGTCCAGAGACAGTTCAGCTGGGATTTCCCCAGCAGCCTCAAGCCAGCGAGTCTGTCACAGGCTCCCAGGGAATTTCAATGGGCACCAACTCCCGCAGCCTCCTTTTGGAAACCCCACCCCCGCCTCCTCCCCCCAGTGCAGCAGCAGGGACCAGGTCACAAACTCCTGGGAAAGCCTGCTGAAGTTTAACCCTTTCAGGGAAGGAGCAGCAGTGGGGGTCAGCCTTGAGTAACACCAAGGATACATCTGAAGGGCCAGTGCAGGTGGTTAATACAGAGGTACACTATGGTGTTTAACAGATAAGTCAGGACAAACCATTCTAGACCCACTGGATTCACTTGTTAACAACTTCTCTGCCTCCCTCCAGAAACAATCCAGGGGGAGCAGAGACTGGCTGATGCAATTACCTGCTAAAAGTACTGCTAGAGTAATGACGATGATGATGGCGATCAACATAAAAACTGTGACTGCAGCTAGGACAACAGCTGGGACTGGGACTTGACGGGAAGCTCGTTTCCTGAGCCTGTTAGACCCAGGGCCTGAAAGAGACAAAGCCATGAGAGCTTCTGGGGAGCAGACTCATTAACGGTATCTGTGCCTGAGCCGCTGTCAGCAAATATCTATTGTGATTCCCAGGGTGCTGCCCTTCCCCTGTGGGTACAGACATTAACTTCAGCCCCCAGTCAGAGGGCTAAACACACTGAAACTCGCCCAGACCCAAATGACCCCACACTCGCCAAACCAGCATGTGGTTTAAATGGCCCCTAGGACTAGAAGATACCATTGGACTGTTGAGTTTCTCCCACTGCTCCTGCAGACTCGTAGAGCTGCTACCCAGTCTGGCTCTTGGCTCAGTTGACCAGAGTGAAGGGATGGGAACGTGTCTCACACTCACCTTTTTTCTGTCCCCTACTAGGGAAAGAGGACCAAAAAGACCACCACACACAAACACGAACGAACACCTTTCCCCACATACTCAGGACTCATCTACACTTACAACGCTCCAGCTGCGCCGCTCTAGCATTTCGGTGATGAGACTTGCTATGCCAAAGGAGGACTTCTCCCCTCACAGTAGGTTCTCCACCTCCCTGAGGAGAATTCTCCCATTGAACTAGCTGCAGCCTGTCTAGGTAGTGTGGTCTATCCTGGGGGTTAGGTGGGTTTAACTGCATCATTCAAGGCTGTGGATTTTTCATACCCCTGAGCAAAGCAGTTATACCAACCTCATTCCCTTGTGTAGGCCAGGCCTCAGGCACTGAGCCTGCCGACTCCAGCTGCACCCAACCCCCTGGATTAAGTCAGGCAGCCTGAAACCACTCAGAGGGTTGGACCACAACTCCCTGCCCCACCCTTAAGGGAAGCTCATGCAAAAATCTAAATTCCACCTGAAGACATCCCCAGCACAGACTGCAGCTGCTAGTCTGAGAAACAAGGGGTTCGGTTTTTCTGTTTGCTGTACAATACAACCAGGTTCACAGCATTCAACAGAAAAGCTACTGGGTGATCCTGAGGAGAACCATCCCGGGACAGACCCACTGGGTTTTCTAAGGCTCCTTCTCTAGCTCTAAGTGCAGTTACATTAGGGCAAAGTAGCACAGGTGTCAGATGTACAACAGGAACATCTAACCCCTGCCCCCCACACAGGAGCCTCTATGCTGAAGCAACCCCCCGGCCCCCCAGACTAAGGACTGGCCTCTCTGGGCTCTGCTTTAGGGTTTACACAGGGAGTCCAACCTCTCAAACTCCCTGCAATCCTTAACTCTCCTTGTCTGAAGAAGGAAGTTTCCTTTGAAATCTTGATTCTCAGGACAAAGAGGGGATTTCAGTTAGTGACCGTGAGACACAGACACACTGTTACTCAGGGGAATGACCCCTGGCTGCCCCCATGGGAGATGAAGCTCCCAGCATGTGTGACATTTGGCGATCTCAACATTCCCATCCCCCTCTTCCTGCACGTCAGCCTTAGCAAAGAGCTTTCCCCAGAGCTCAGGGACGCATCTCCCATGCACAGCAGCTGCACCAGCAAAAATGTAGGAACAGAGTTAACTGCCACAAGCAGACAATAGCTCATTGTCATGCACACCAAAGGCCCTTCCTTTATGCACCTGTTTCAGGTGTGTGCCTCTCACACAGAGGGCATGCAAAAGTGAATTGGACCAGAGGGCAACAGGGGCCAGGATTTCAGAGGGGTAACAACCCCCACCCACCACAAGACCTCTGGCCACATGCAGGCACACAAAGTACAAGCTGGGTACCTGTTCCCTCGGAGCTCACTGGTGTACTCAGCTGCTTGCTGCATCCATACATGGCAGTTTGACGTGTCCCCTCTTCTGGGCATGCCTCAGTGTCTCTATCCAGCCTGTTACAATAGCTTTGCTCCCTTCTTTTCTCCCCAGTTGCACCCTGGTTAAGGGGCGCCTTCATCTGCTGTCCATCATTAGTAGAACACTCTCCTTCCTCCATCTCTCCTCTCCAATCAGCTCCCTCTCAGGGGCTATGATGTCTCATTCAGGGCCTGTGTATATTCAACAAGGCAGATAGAGATAATACAGAAAGTACATTTGGACGGCCACACTTACACCCTGGAAGGTTAACCATTATCTTTCTCATCACTGTCACTGTCCTCATCTTTCCCGGTGGCATCATTCTGGCCCCTCCCAAGGTCTACATCTCTCTACTTGCTGTCCCTGGGATGTTACTTTTATAGTAGGTTACACTGACATTACCATGCCAATGCATATTTAATAGGGGTCCTTATTTGTATTTCCTCCCCTTAAGGTGTCCATTTTCTATAGGTTAGTATACGTATGATGTTACCCTATTAGCATACACGTCAATTTGATGCCATGGTACCTTTGCAGTCGGACGTTCTGTCTGGAACCTTCCAGATGCTGGTGTCAGTTATGTTCTGTGGGTGGCTGATCTCAGTATTTTGGACAAAATTCCCCCTTTTGCGTGCTACTTTCCATTCGCTATAACTTATGAGTTACTTAAATTTATCTGTGCCAAAGGTTATAGGCCTCAAGCCTCATGCCATCTGCTAAAGCCAAATCTTACAGGATAAAAGCCTGTAGGTTTCTTGCATTACTACTAAATATAATAAAGCAGAACAACAAAGCAATGAATATAATACAGGTAAGCTGGCCCACTGGGCTACACTCTCAATTGTTCTGTTCACAGTCAGAAACACAAAGCAATCAGCAAATGCAATAACTAAAATATCTTCCATCCCCCTCCATTGATCTATTCCCCCACCCTCGCCCTTATCAGTGGGTGCCATAGTTAAGTCCCCTCCCCCCAGCCCAAAGAACTATAAAGAGAGCTACACAAGAATTTGGTCTCCCACCCCGATGTGAAACCCCCTATAGGAGGATTGGAGGAAGGGAGAATCCCCTTCCCTGAGGGACAGCGGTGTATGAATGTGGAGGGAAGAGCCCCAGATACTTCCACAGGCCAAATGAAGATTGTGACAGGGAAGGAACCATACACATGTACATCAAGGCCAGTTTGCAGTTACTTTTACATAGACGAGATGCAGCTCCTCATTAAACACAGGGAAAAACTATGGGGGATAAAGAAAAGAAAAGAGGACTTGAAATTGTTTTTTAAATTATAATTTTT